GCATGTGTTCTCTTTTCAAGCATATTATGTACATTTGTATGGTGTATATATCTCTATCTGTATGTACCGATATATGTATACACATACACCAACACACAAACATGCAGATGTGAGCAGATTTCCATGCCTCTCTGTGTGAGTATACGTGTGGTACAGTGGGACATCAATGTCAGTTTTATTGACATGTACATGTGTAAGTGAGCATACGCACCTTCAAAACGTCATGTGGAAGTCTTGGTGTGAACTCATGTGTGCATTTCTATACGAGCCTTCTGACCTGTAGGGGCATTTTTAGTAGTTCTTTCTATCGCTTTCTCTCTCTGTTTCTCTCTGTCTCTCTCGCTCCTGCTCCCTCTGACTGAGACTTCATGGCTGTATGTAGTGCTGTTGACACACTACGCATAGGAGCTGATTAATGCATAAGTATGTCTGAATGTGCAGAGAGTTGTTGCGCTGTTTTGTCTGCGAAAGTTTTAGTCACATCAGGAACAGATGTCTGCGCCACAATCCTGGGCTTTTTTGGCAGATCAACGTCCAGCTCAAGCAATGTTGAAATTGCCTGCAGTTTCGCTGAGGTCAAAGCGAAGCCAGAAAAAAGCGAACAGGCGCAAGCACCGTCTGATTCAGGGCTGTTTCGATTCGATGCTGAAAGCCTAAATCCACGGTGGTCGATTGACCTTAAATCAGGGCGCGAAGTTCCGGCAGCAGGAGTCATTACGGTTTATGCTGCAAGTGCGTATATAGTATGTCTATGTCTATACACGTGTGTGTATATATAACACACATATATATATATGTACACATACAATATGCATATATGAGTTTGCGCGAGATATATGTATATATATATAGAGAGAGAGTGAGAGAGAGAGAGAGAGAGACATATATATATATATATGTATATATAAGTTACACACACATATATATATATACATACATACATGTTCATATTTATCTTTATATATGTGTGTGTCGATATATCTACCGATGTATATGCATAGGTATATGAACCGGTTGTCGGGGTCCTAGCCTGGCCTGCTATAGGGCTCATGCTATATACGTCTTAGTAGCTTCTGCTATCGTTTGAGGTGTGCTCCATTGTTGAACCCCCACTCTTGCTGTTTTACTTGAGATCGGGCCAGAGGAGGTTGTATTCTGGGATTTGGTCGGTGCCGGTAGGTGGGTATAGTACTGAACTGGGGTGCTATTATGAGGGTGCTGGGGCGTACATCTGGCCTTAACAAAGGTGAGTACATGTTCTTGGGTTTTGCTTCTGGAGGCAACTAGTTAATATGAGAGGCGCAAGACCGAACATCTACACATCCATGAACTGTATACTGCATCTAAGTTCATGAGATGTTGAATCTACAAGGTTAGCGACGGCAGGACTTCTATCAAGAACTTTGGCTGTGCCCGGCCTAAGCGGGAAGTACGATGTACAACGCATCGACGGCGCACGGCAGGAAGGCTTTGACGAATCCTTGCCGCACACCGTCTAGACAAGAAGTACAGCGACTACGAATCCCCTAAACCCTAAACCTTAATAAACCCTAACCCCTAAACCCCTAAACCCTAAACCCCTAAACCCCTACACCCCTAAACCCCTAAACCCTAACCCCAGAACCCTAAAACGCCCTGTACTTCAGGTGCCTGTGCTTCTGACTGGCCTTTCCCTGAGGATCTTTGGGCCGTTAATCTGACAGACAGCCGGAGGTTTCAGGCTCTTAGGGCAAAGTGGATTTAGGGCTTTGAGTGCTTTAGTCGGGTTGGTGTGGTTTTGGGGCTTTAGGGTGTTAGGGCGTTGCGGGTGTAAGCTAAACCCTAAACCCCTGAATCCGAGACCCCTAAACCCTAAACCCTACAGTTCGGGATCTGTTGTTTGACCATCTATTGCTTCGGGATGCGACAGGGCTAGTCAGATGCAGGGTTCAGGGACACAAAGAGGGTTTAGGGGTTTAGGGGTTTAGGGGTTTAGGGGTTTAGGGGTTTAAGGTTTAGGGATCAGGGTTTAGGGGTTTCGGGTCTGGGGGCTTAGAGTCAGGGGCTATCGATTTTGACTAAGCCTCTGGTCCAACATGTACCGAGGCTGGACCTGAAGTGTCTCAGTACTAGGGACTACACGAGTGCTTCTCTAAATTAGGGTCCGTTTTAATAAGGGTGCCATACTGTATTATGGGAACCAAACAGGGACCCAAATTTAGAGAACTACCCGCATAAAGAACAGTAAAGAACTTGCAATCAGGAACCGCGAAATTCGTCGAGGTTTTGTAGGGTCCAAGCAAGGTTTCATGTTCACGCACCTCGAGCACCTGTTGCTCAAGGTTTTTTTTTGCCAGCTTCTGTTATTATGGCATAGTCACACACTACAAAGGGAGCTTAGGTAGATTTGCATGGCATCTTGGTGGAGGACTGTTGGCATTTTGTTTGTCTGTGTGTGTGTTTGTGTTTTTGTATGTATGTATATATATATACACACATATATTTATATGTGTATATACATATATATATATGTATATGCGCATATGCACATATCTAGGATGCTATTTCGGGAATCTTTGCTGTATCGACAACCCTACTTCATCTGAGCTCGTAGACCAAAGACCCTTCACCCTAAACTCGGATCCCAGCCAACTTGAGCCTGAAGATGCACCCGACGTGCTGTGTAATTTCTACTCTCGAGACTTCTCGGGACGACATGGAATCCTGGATCGAAGGAGTTGGTCAGAACGGCGACCCCCCCTCCCCCCTGGGGAGGATAGTATACAGAGCGCTTCTGGGGTAACTCTAGCGTTCCCTGGCATGTATATCGCTTGGCCCAGTTTGCCTCCGAAGCCGCAATACTCCGCATCCGCCCGACTCAACTCCACCATAATTCCTCAACCTGCCATAATCCCTTTAAGGCTCGTATCCCACGGACCCGAAGCCCTCGTGCGAGTTGAGTTCTCGACTCCTTCGGTGTAGTGACTCCGCAGATGCTTGGTTCACCCACCTTCAGTGATGCCAATGAATGCCTACACATTTGCCGACCAAAGCCTCATGACTGTCGATGTTCTGTTGCTATACAATCAGGCTGTCTTGTCTCCATTCTGTTTTCGATTGCAGCCGTTCATTTACACAGGGAAAGCATGGTGCTTCAATGGTTCTTGCAACACACTCGACACCATCCAGCATCTTTATAAGTATTGGGGTTAAGGTTCAGGGTTTGTAAGTTATCGGGTTTAGGGTTTATCTCTGTGCCCCTTAAACTGGTCTGCCAGATTTTTTCTTGCGCTTTCACGTCATACGCGGTTCGCTGTCGACAGCTATTCGCCCATTGCTGGGGCAGGTCCTTTGGGTTGAAAGTTCGGTGCTTTTGCGGATAATGGCTTGTAGGCCTCAGTTCCAACTTCCATGGCGACCTCCAGAACTTGATATGGGGCTTTCCGAAAACGGGGGACCCTAATATAGTACCCTAAATAGTATATAGGATCCTTATTGTAAGGACCCCAAAACAAGGTACCCTAATTTTCGGAACGTCCCAGATACTGAGGTGGGTTGGTGGGTGGGTGGGGTGGGTGGGTGAAAAGGGGAGGTTTCGGCAGCTCCTACGTGCCGACATCGCAAGTAGAAGGAACATATATGAAAGCGATGATCGTGACGGTGGCAGCAGTCTTGGTGTTGACGAGTTGCTCATGACAAGAAGACGCACGGCGTGAGGTGCAACTAGCCAGCACAGAAAGGCTTGGCATGATAACTGCAACCTCCCCAAGAAGTGAAAGCCACGACTGAATTTCAGAACATTAGACTGCTTCTCCCGAGTGAGCTCCTCAAGAAGTGATGACAAGCCTGCAGCAGCAAGCCCCAAATCTTTGCCAGCGCCGAAAGACAAGCTTGAGTCCTGATCCTGGCTTGCAGGAGAGGCGAAAGCCCAACCCCCAAATTAGAGTGGCCAATAGCATTCAAGACAGGCAAATGAACCCGACATGTTGGGTACATGTGTACTTGCTTCAGGCTCTCAGTAAACCCAACACTTGCCTGGCACCAAACCTTTAAAGCCTTAAGCCCCTGCACCTAAAAAGCCCCAAACCTGAAACCCTAAACCCCAAACCCAAACTCTACACCCTAAATCCCGAACTGGGTGTCCGGAGCTCTTGCCATGGCCGAGTACGAAGGCACAGCCAAGGTTGCGGAAGCGGCGCCTTGTCGGTTGGTTTAGGCATTGTAGTGTTTAGGGGTTGGGGTTTAGGATTTGGGGTTTAGGGTGTAGTGTAGCCCCAAAGAGTCCTAAGTACCTAGTTCCTAGTTTTGAAGCCGTGCATTCTGCTATGTATGTACTTATTTAGGACCTTTAGGGCGTTTTCTGGTTGTCTCCCTACGGGTCGGTCCATGTGCTCAAACAATATACATTTTGGGCCCAAAGTACCCCAACAGGCCTAAAAACCCTAAACCCTAGGGATTACTTTACGGCCAAAGTATATGCTGTTTGGGTTCATGGACCCTTAGGGTGAATGGGGGGACAGGCCCGAAACGCTACATCCTAAAACCCTCCGCTTGTCAAATGGGCCGAAAGATCCAAAAGTGGAAACAAGCCTTTTAAGTAGTATATGTGTATATATATATATGTATTATGTATATATATATATGTATTATATGTATTTTTCTTTCATGAGGTGATAGAAGTTTTCTTACGCGCTTGTGACTAACCCGAAGTCTGATCTCAATACCCCCAGCAAATCGTAAGTTAAAGCTCACTCACTCTGGAACCTCCTTCTAACGCTGACAGAACTTGTTTCTTGAATCCCATGTGTCTGAAAAACCTTGTGCTAAGTAAGTCACCGACATCCTTTCGAGCAGCTGTCCATGAAACCCAAACTACGGATCAAAACACAACTCGGTCAAAGTCCTACTGATGACAAAGCTCCGTTTTGATCCCAGGGTGGACCAAATTAAGTGCAAGAGCCTTGCAACCCTAAACGCCCAAAGCCCCAAGCAAGATTCCAAGGTGGCGAAGTATGGTGGCTATGTGCCGAACTACCGTGCGCGAGGGGAGCATCACTACCGGGTCCCCTTCAAGGACTCCCTGGTTGGGGTTGTTCATAGCATTTTCAGCAGGAATTGTTGTAAGAAGTGTTGAAGGGTTGGACAGTTTCAGTGTTCAATAGGGCTTCTTTTGTACAACCAGGTTTTTTGTGTTTAGGGTTTTTCAGTTTTGCTTATTGGTTCGGATTTTTCGACAGAGAACCCTGGAACACACTTGTAGCAGCTGTCTTCGTGGTCATAGTCGTGGTGTCGCCTGCATCATCTCCGTTTTCTGCGTCGTCGTCGTCCGTTCCCCCGCGCATCCCGGCCAAACCATCAGGGCGTTTGTTCGACCCGTTCGTCCGTCGCCCACGCAGGCCATGGCAATGTTTGTGTGCTTTCGACATCACCAAACCATGATGACGTCCGGGTGACCTGCATGCCAAACCACGCAGCCGAAACAACATGTATCACATTCACACGTAGCCCCAACCCCGCAAATACCGATGCCTTAGACGCAAATCGCCTTCAGGCGATCACACCGTAATCACCTGGGTCCAAGAGCAAACTCACCCCGAATCTAAAGGGAGTCTGAAGGCACTCTGCTTCTCAGAATAGTGCAGCAAACACCCAGCAAGCCGCGAGGGTTTCGGTATGATGACCAAGGGCAACGCCGCACATAAACGTCGATGTAAACGTCTAAAACGCTGAACCCTGAACCGACTAAACCCCAAGCCCCAAACCCCAAAAAGACCGAAACTCTCCTACAAGTATTGCAGAAAAAGTGTCGCTTTTGGGGTCTAGGATTCACGGTTTGGCTTGCGGGTTCGGGGATCCAGGGGAGCAAGTGGGTCTGAACTCCTGAAAGCTCGCAGCAGGACAAATCCCACCTCGTTGGTGTCAGGCCACATCCGGAATGGACGAAGGCTCCGGGCTTTGAACTGAACCCTTAGGCTTGCGTGGTTTTTCCTAGAAGTAGTAGTGATCGGCCTATGGTTGGTTATAAAGTTTCAAGACTTCGGTTTACGGCGCAGGGCCCTAAACCCTAAACCCCAAAATGGTGTAAGCTTTCAGGTTTGGGGGTCTTTGCAGTTTAGAGGTCAGGTGCAAACGTTTCGCCGTATCGGTTGTAGGAGGGATCCAGTGTCCCGAGCGATCCACCCGCCTCAAGAGAAAATGCTCGGCACGAGGGCATGCATTGTCGGAATTTGGAGCCGTCGGGACGAGAGGCATGACGCTTTGCTTAAGCTTTCCCTAAACCCTAAACCCTCAACCCTAATAGGCTGTATGGGAAGACTGCGCTTGTCACGGGGTCCGATAAGCTTGTAAGCCCGTATCCCTCAAGCCTATGTAAACCTTATGAACCCTGAGCTGTAAATTAGGGGTTAGGGGTTGGGGTTTTGCTAAACCCTGCAGCGAATCCGAGACAGTTGGCACATGGGTTTAGGAGGATTAGTGTTGGGATCCCTTTTGCTATACCTGAAGGGCGTGAGGATAAAACATGTTCCAACTTTCTGGGTTCTACTATAAACCTTAAACTTAAACCCCAAATCCTAAGCCTTATAAGTAACTTATAAGCCTTACAGTTTAATTATAAGCCTTACAGTGTAAAGCTTGAAGCTTCTCACCGTTTCCCTGTCGTATCTGAAGGTGCCGGAGCATCGCACCCTCACCGAGCTTAAGGCTCGATCTGCATGAAGAGATGGTTTAGGAGTTCCAAGTGGCCATATAGTAGACTGTAGGGTTTCTCTTTCTCTCTCTCTCTCTCTACCTATATATATATATATATATTTCTGTCTATCTATCTATCTATCTATCTATCTATCTATCTATCTCTATATATATATATATGTGTATATATATATATAGGAGTTACTATTATGAACTAGGGAAGCCTTCCCACCATAACAGTACAGATAGCACCCTTTGGGGTGACAGATTCCACAAGTCCTGGGTTGCTCCTACAAACTTTGTTTTGCTGTTAGGGGTTTTGGGTTTAGGGGTTGGTGGTGAGCTTCTCTTTGCATTATTTGCTAGTAGGGATTTGGATCTAGGCTTTTTGGAGCTTGCGGATAGTCTTGGTCTAAGTTTCGGGATCCTTTCAGCTACAAAGTCCTCGGCTGCTTTCGCACGCCTTAAGGTTTGGGGGTCCAGTTTCAGGGTTAGGGTTTGGCAGTTTTATTGACCAGGGATCCGCTCAATACCCTGATAAAGAGAGTTTCTGGCATGCTGTGTTTGATTGTCGCATGGTGGCTGTTGTTTTTATTTTTTATTTTTTGAGTGGGGGTTGGTATTGCAGGTTCTTGGAATTCAACCTTCCGTCTTGGGATGTTCACGAGGTTTTGTGCTGAAGCACTGTTTAGACACGTCATCACGGGTCGACGTACTTGACATCTCTTCTACCTTCGAGCGGGGCCGAATTTAGCAGAATGGCCTTGTAGAATACCCTAAACCGTAATAAACCCCTAAATCCTTGTAGATAGCGTGCTCCGACGGGTGGTCAACTCGTCCTGTGGCCCTGGCGGCTGCAGGCTAGACCTGGGTCCTGAACCCGTACTGTAGGAACCTGAATAAGAAACCCTGGCCCCCTTTTTTTCACCACATCATTAGGATTCATATTACGAACCCAAACAAAGACCCAGGGCTTCCTAACCAGGTTCCTACATCAAACCATTAAGCCCTACACCCGGCTCGGTCTCGACAGGCCAAGAGACGTGCAGACCGGCTACCGGACGCAACCTTTGCACCTTGGGCTTTGTTAGGGTTTAGAGCTCTGGTTTGGGGATGTTTGGGGTTTGGGGTCGGGTTTAGGGGTCGGGGATCCGGAATCCGAAAGTGGTAAACCCTGAACCACAAACCCTTAACTTCTGACTGCCACTGTCAAGTAAGTTCTTGTTCGGGATTTCGGGCATTCCTTTGACGTTGCTTTATTTTCTGATACCCCAAACCGAAAGCTTTCGACCATTTCTTGTTAGGGCTTTGAGAAATAGCTGAGATCGGTTTTACGGTTGGTCGTATCCCTCTGCACAAACTGCAAGATAACTGCCTCAAACTACGCATTGAGGCTTCTAAGGTAGGCCCAGACAGGGTTGGAGTCGTCTAGAAGATTTGGGGCCTTGCTTTGTGGGGCTAGGGTCTGTGGCGCTCGAATCTCTGTAAGACTCCCGGTTCTGGGCTTGTTGGAGCTTAGGGTTTTAGGATCTGGTTTTTTGGGTTTTAGGATCTGGTTTTTTAGGGTTTTGGGATCTGTTTTTTTGGGGGCACGTCTCAGGCTTCAGCGGTTGGAGTTCTATCCGTTTAGTCACCAGTGGCCTGCAGCCCACGATATTGCAGTCAAAGGACAGTTCGTTCACCTCTCCGAATGCTGCCTTGGCTCCATAACTTCCGCAAGAAAGCCGTAAACGGGAACCCTAAATCCTAATTAAACCTTAAACCGTAGTGCGGAGCCCCAACATGAACTCATAGCACGATCCTTCTACAGAAGAGTCCTTACAAAGGGGATAGACCCAGCAGTCTCTTCGGAGCTTCAAATCCAAGACAAAACCCTTGGAGTTTCTCTTCTCATATATGTTTGTTATCATACACCCCAAACCAAACCCCGAATCTTATCGCTGTTGTTCCTATTATATCATGGTTTTCCTTACTAGCGTGTTTGTGGCCCCTGTAGTGTACCATGCGTCGCACGAGGACATCGATGGAGATGGCGTAGTTGGCCCGACCGACTATTTCGTCGCCAAGACCTTTGCCAAGGTGTCGGCCCGATACCGCATTTATCGTTTCTCTCTCTCCCTCTCTCTCTCTCTCTCTGTCTCTCTCTCTCTCTCTCTCTCTATCTATCTATCTATCTATCTATGTATGTTCGTATATATGTGTGTTTTTGTTTTGCCTATTTTTCTACATAGAGACGGAGATATGTATGCACACATGCGGATTCCCAGCTGCGCCTGTGATACGCATCCCCCGCCTTTGATTCTCAAACGCTTGTTTGTTCATAGGTGTTTGGTATAGAAAATATGTGTGTGTGTATATATATACATATTGATATATGCATACATAATCCCAGGGTTGAGGCTCTACTAATTTGCTGCATGGGTTTAGGGCGTTGTTGAGTTTAAGGTTTGGGAGTTTTGAGTTAGGATGTAACGGTTTAGTGTATGGATTTGAGAATTTGGGGGCTTAGAGTTGAGGTCGACTGCACGCAGCACGGCGTTTTGTTCGCGGATCCTCTGCTAACTATTATACAGTCTTCAGATGCTCGGCTTAATACCTGGTTTTGAACATATGCACTTGCTTTAGTGAGCGTGACTATCATGCAAGGAGATCAGCAAAAAAGTGCTGGGGTCCCTGTGTCCAGCCACGTGCCAGGATCAAGCCAACCGCCTCGACACAGGCGAGAGAGGACCGCCCTGCGTTGTGGGAAGCCTTGGGCTGCGAACTCTCGGATGTGCCACTGCTTTGTTGGGTTCAGGGTTTAGGGTTTAGGAGCTTTGTTGGGTTTAGGGTCTAGGGTTTAGGAGCTTTGTTGGGTTTAGGGTCTAGGGTTTAGGGAGGGAGTTCAGGGCAGGAAAGCCCAGATCCCCCAAACAGTCCGGACATCTCTTCCCTCGGAACCTAGGGCCGCTTCGGTTTGGGCAGGCAAAGTGGTCGAAGCGTTGGAGGATGGCTTCCTGGATCGAGCCATGGCAGCAAGAAGGGATCATAGGTTCCTTAAAGGGGTCCTACAAGGGATCCTAGGTTCCTTAAAGGGGTTCTATAAGGGATCATAGGATCCTTAAAATGGGTTCTACAAGCAAGGATCTGCGGTGGAAGTCAGGGCTCAAGTTCTGCACCCTAACTTACTGTAGGCCCCCATTCCCTTACTGCCCCATGCGGGTTTCCTGCAGCAGGCATAAGAGCCCACCCCCCCCCCCAAAAAAAAAAGCAAAAAAACAACATATAAAGTAAATAAATGAATAAATAAATAAATATCAATAAATATATATATATATAAGCAAGAAACTCCGAAGTTGTTGGCCCCAAATGCGAAACCCTACACAGTCAAACCCCCAAAGTGCTAAGCTCAAGCCTAAACTCCTTACTTACCTTTGGTTAGTAGGGAATGGAGGAATGGGAACTATTATAAGTACCATTACTACCATTCTTCCATTCCCTACTAACCAAAGGCAGGCTTAGCCACACCAAGAACCCAAGCCGAGGATGCCCCATTAGCAAACCGAAGCTCGAAACTCGGAGACATGGCCCTACCTATAGCCGTCGTAGTAGTTCCTTTTTGGGGTTACATGCTCCATAGCAGTTCCTTTTGGGGGTTCATTTATGGAATCCTAAATATAAACCACAAAAAGGACCTACTATGGAGCCTATGGGTAAACTCTGAATCCTGAACCACTAGGACTTAGGCTTTGGGCTTTAGAAGTTACGGCTTCAGGTTCAGGGCTTCGGGTGTAGGTTTTAGGGCTTGGGGCTCAGGCTTAGGGTTCTGAGAATTTGGGTCTCCAACCCTCAAAAGCCACTCGCGTTGCCAAACTCCAGGATACTCTTGGGGCTACGACGAGGCTCCGCGGTGAAGCTCCATCGAGTTGCCTTTTGCGACGTCCGGGAAGTGCTAGTAGAATTGCTATGTATTGCTGTAGAGTTTTATACGGGTTTTGTAGGATTCTAGATGTTTTTGTACGGGTGCTACATGGGCCTTTAACAATTCGCTTCAAAAAGAAAACCAGCTAAGCTGGCATATTGTGGAATGATTTTCTTCTCCGCATTCTTCACATTCCCTGTATCATAAGCTCGATTGGGATCCTTCTTAAGGCGCACCGCGGTCTAGCTTGGGAGTGGGGCAGCTGAATGTGGTCCCATGAAGGGATATATAGGTTTATAATACATAAACAAACAAACAAACCAAAGGGTAGGAAAGCAAGCAAGCAAGCAAACAAACAAATATGGAGAGACAGAGAGAGAGGGAGAGAGGGTGATGATGATGTTCGACTGAGATTGGGAGTTTAGAGGTCCGAGCAAGCGCCAAGAAAGCCTCCAAGTCCTTCTTCTTCCCAGAGCACCGGGCAAAAAGAAGAAGCTCATGGCTTACTACTTGACTTGGCGTTTCCGTTCTTGAAGTTAAAACTTGCAAAATGTCAGTTACTATCCGAGACTCTCAACCCCCAAACTATCTATCTACCTACCTGTCTATCTATCAATCTATCTATCTGTCTGTCTATCAGCTCTCAGACTGCAATGTTTTTGGCACCGCAATCCTCAGACTCTCAACCCAGATGCTACGCTGATAGGCCCTCAACCATACCCACACCCTGAACGTCCTCAGGCTGGCGCAGCGCGGAAGAATGTCGTCAAGCAGCTCCGGGGAGCTTTGGCTGAACTGGGGCTCCCTGCACTTCTACACTCTTCTTTTTGTACTACGATTACTGGTATTATGAATATTACTAGCACTACTACTACTACTACAGCTGCCACCACCACCAATGACCGCGTCTTGGTGTAGTGCTTCCTCTGTATTTATCATTGCTATTTCCACTGTCACAGCTAGTCGCACACCGCCCTCGAAGATTTCATGTTGCGATTCGGATGTGGTATGCAGTGAAGATATGAGATCTTAAGTCTTAGGACATATACCTGAGGGTTTAGGGTCTTGGTCTAAAAGGTTTGAGCATAAAGGTCATGTATGCTCAAGAAATCCGGTATGTAAGATTCCCGACCGTACGCACTGAGCACTGAAAAAGCCATCAAAAGAGATCCCGGTACTAGGCTGCTTAGCATATGCTGCTACGCTGTCCATGTATGGCTTCAATTCAATGTCGAAGGACAAGCTCTAGTTCAGCGTTTCAGCGCGTCCCTCCTTGGAGTTGAAGGAGCACTGGCATGACACATCGGAAGCCCACGGTGCTACACCGAATCACCAGAATCACAAGGCTGCCAAAAGACTGCGCTGCGAAAATTCCTTTAGTCACTTTAGTCTCTTCATCTTACATAATTCTGAAACCTTCCACCATGCCAAATCCCTGAAGCCCCGAAGCCTCAACCCTCGACTTCATACCAATCATCGTTACATGAGGCTGTTAAGCAG